TGAAACAATTTGTTAACCGCATGTTTTTTGTAGCTTTTAGGCCTAAATCTTTATTTATTATTGACACTGATGTTCCTATTAATTTGGCTATATCTCTTTGTGGCATAGGATTTTCTTTTGTAATATACAAGGTGCGTTCATTAATTTCCAGGACTGGTTAAAAAATAAAATAAATAAAAAAGCTAGAGAAAATATTTTTTTACAGAGTTGAATATTGGACATTCGACCACACCTGACTGAAAGCACGAGTCTCGTGGCGCACGCGCCGATCTAAAAATAGAACAAAACAACTTCCTTGTAAGGTTCGCATTTCTAATTTTAAAATGGCCATTTTCGAAGAGCAGAGAATCTGCATTAAGTTTTGTTTTAAATTGGAAAAAAGTGCTACTGAGACGTATGAATTGATTAAAGAAGCTTTTGGCGATGCAGCTTTATCCCGTTCAAGAACTTTTGAATGATTTTCACGCTTCCAAAAAGGTCGGGAAAAGGTAAACGATGATCAGCATACTGGGCGTCCAAGATCATTTCGTTGCGAGGAAAACAAGCTCAAAATAAAGGAGTTAATTAAATCTAACAGAAGAATTATCTTCAGTGACTGGACTATCTGTTTATTTGGGGATAATGAGGTGCTTAAGGGAGGCAGTGCGCCTTAAAAGACCTGAAAGATGGCAAAACAATGACTGGATACTTCACGTCGGTAATGCGCGGCCGCACACAGTCCATGTTGTTTTGCAGTTTTTGGCCAAGCATTCAACCATACAGATCCCTCATCCACCCTATTCCCCCGACTTAGCCCCCAATGACTTTTTCCTCTATCCTAAATTGAAAATTAACTTGAAAGGACGGAAATTTGAAAACGTTGATATGATACAAGCTGAATCGAAGGCAACCTTGAGGAACCTCTCAAAAAGTGATTTTATCTCCTGCTTCGACAATTGGAAAAAAAGATGGAACGGGTGTATTGAGGCAGGAGGGGCATATTTTGAAAAATATTAAATTAGTTTTTTTATTTGTTTTATTTTTTCAAAGATACAGAGCAGTCCTGGAAATTAATGAACGCACCTTGTATTTTTTTCACTTTTTCGACAGTTGCAGGAGTTCTTTTGTCCATTTCACCGTAGGTACTTTGAATAAAAACTTGATATTTTTGTCGCGAATAATATTATAAATACCTTTTTAGAAATGTTGATATCATCTTGTTTGCATATTTTAATTATGTCCAAATAGGTAAGATTAGCTCTGGAAAGTGGTAAAGGAAGAATGGGATCTTTTGAGTATGACCATGATCAGAAAGTGTCTGCTATCGTGGAAAATCAGGTGCCGTTCTGTAAATAAACAAAAAGGCTTTCAAATAGAACATTTGAAATTTTTCAAATATGGTGTTAATTTTTAATATTTTATAATAAAACCTGTTTCCTATAAGTGTGAACACCCTCTGTATTATAAAGGTGTCGTGAAATGTGTGGCCTTATATATTAATATATATATATATATATATATATATATATATATAAACTAACCGAATGACCCGGGCAACGCCCGAGTTTTGCCCGATTAAATGCTTTTATTCAAATACTATTCGTTACAATTATAAATTGGCGCCGTGGGTGTCATTCTTGTGAAACGTCCCGCTCCAAACTTTGTGTCTGAGAAGCGATATTTTTATAAAGAGATGATCAGGCTTTGTGTCTTCTGCTCGAATAAATGTTTTTTTCTGTTAGAATTTTGTTCCTGCATACTAAAAATGAACTGGCTTCACCCGTGGTCTCTGTTTTTTGGAATTTTTCCGGATATAATTTTGTATCTGATAATCAAATATGATACAGCAATATTGTCATAATCATTTTCTGACTAAAAAAAGCAACTATTTTTGCCCAGAACCTGTCAATTTCAATTTTTCTTGGCTAAAAATGCGACAAAAATCTCTTCCATAATTTTTTCTATGTCCTGTTAAAACACGTTTTACATGTACATTAGGTCAGCTGATATTACCCCCGCTAGAGGCGCTGCTTGCGAGCGAAAGAGCAAATTTGCAACTCAAATTTGCAAATAACTCGAAGAATATTCGGGATAGAGACCTGAAATATTCAATATAAGTTTTCCAGATTCTACTATACATACTGCTAAAATTTCAGTCATATTAGTTACGTATTTTACGTATATTACGTAAAAGCATTCCATTCACAAAAGCAAACGACAAAATTGATGACTCTGATACTTGTATCTTTTAATAATAATATAAATGAGTTTTAAAAATTGTAAAAAAAAAATGCATCGGCCGGGAATCGAACCCCGGCCGCCCGCGTGGCAGGCGAGCATTCTACCACTGAACCACCGATGCTTATAAAAAATGGTCATATTTGGGTATTTATTCCATTCACAAAAGCAAACGGTGACAGAAGTGTTGATTGATTGCTGATTATGACTCTGATACTTGTATATTTTAATACTAGAAGATGTGTACCCGGCTTCGCCTGGGTTTTATCCGAGTGAAAGTTTGCTTAACGAATATTATTGATAATAATATTCCGGAACACACAGAATATTATGATAATAATGATAATAATATTCGTTACCTTATATATTTATATAATACTAGCAGATGTACCCGGCTTCGCCCAGGTTTTATCCGAGTAAAGGTTTGTCTAACGAATCTCTCGACAAAGTGAACATTTTTTCCCGGTCCCTTGAAAAATATTCGATAAGTTGAATAAAATCAATATTAATTGGTCCCCTCGGTAAATGGAAGTTAAAGGAATAGTATCTTGCCTTGGAATTGTATCATTATTCTTGTCTCAGATAAATTGCCGCGATATCCTGAATTTTGTCTTTCCTAATTTCTACATTACAAAATCATCATTTTATCTATTCTACCAATATATATGTTGTAGATAAATGATAAAACTAACTTTGACTTTTGCGCAATTAATAGGTAGAAAATCTTACTTTTTATAAATAATCTTTAAGATAATAAACTTAGTGATAAGAAAATTAATAGATAAAAAAACTTGTTATCATCGTCGCAATGGGGGCGCTGCTTTCGAGTTAAATCTACAAATCTGCAAATAACTCTAAGGATATTCAAGATATTCAAGAAATTATTTTTCAAAAGCCTTCCCGGGGATATATCTAATAATATCCCAAAATTTCACGGCGATTGGATGTATGGTTCTGAATCTATAGAGTACAGACAGACAGACAAACAGACAGACAGACATTCAATTTTATATATATAGACTAGCGGATGTACCCGGCTTCGTCCGGGTTTTACCCGAGTAAAGGTTTGTCTAACGAACATTTGTTAAAACACTTCTCTATAAACTTATAAAAAAAAAGATATATTTTGATAATTTGAAACTCGTAAATTTGAATCTCTCGATAAAGTGAACATTTTTTCCCGGTTCCTTGAAAAATACTCGATAAGTTGAATAAAATCAATATTAATTGGTTCCCTCGGTAATTGGAAGTTAAAGGAATAGTATCTTGCCTTGGAAATTTATCATTATTCTTGTCTCAAATAAATTGCCGTGTCATCCTGAATTTTATCTTTCCTAATTTTCTACATTACAAAATCATCGTATCATCATGATAATATTTAGAGCAGATTGTTGAATTATAACAGATAAATTAGAATATTTATCTTGATTATTTTTAGGCGAAAAGTTATTTTAAAAATTTTATTTCCTAGAAATCTTCCCAGTACTATACTAAATAACTTCTAAAAGTTTCATGGCGTTCCAATGAGTGGTTTGGTCAGGCATAAAGGACACACACACATACATTCATTTATATATATACTAGACGAATGGCCCGGGCAACGCCCGGGTTTTACCCGAGTGCGTATATATTTTAAAAACGTTTTTTTCAAATACTATTCGTTACAATTATAAATTGGCGCCATGGATGTCACTCTTGTGAAACGTCCCGTTCCAAACTGTGTGTTTTTAAAATGTTTCAATTATATATAATATAACGGTATAATAACGGTATAAAGAAATAATGAGCCTATAGCCTAGTGGTCATGGCATCTACCCGGTAAGCGGAAGGTCGTGGGTTCGATTCCCATCCCTTGACACTTTTTTATTTTATCCATTCTGACCAAAATCTATCCGTGAACTTCACATAGTGAACTTCACACAGACAGAATAAGGCAATTATATAAGTAGATATAAAGAAGATAGATAGAATAGATATAAAATATATTTTTCTCTCTCTCGAGCAAACATATCCACTCTCTCTGCTGAATAGATTTTTAAAAAGATATATAAAAATACCTAGAGATATACTACATGATCTTAGCCAAAAGGCCGAGAAACGATATTTTATATATAGAGATGACTTCGCTTCGTGTGTCTTCTGCTCGAGTGAATATTTCGCTGGTAGAATTTGTTTCTGCCAACTAAAAATTATTATCTGGCTTCGCCCGTGGTCTGCTTTAGTGAATATTCCCCTAAAGAATTTTGTTTAATACATTATAAAGGACTGCGGCGTATGATTATAAAACAACACTTAAAGTTTCACTGCATAAGTTTCTTTTCTGTGAAAAATCAATATTTATTTCAAAGAGAAATATTTACTATTTCTAACTTTTTTGGAAGAAGTATGAACGGGCGAAAATATGAAGAGTAATGGCGAACGGAAAAAAAAAGCGTCCAGCGGCGGGAATCGAACCCACAACGTTCCGCTTACCGGGCAGATGCCATGACCACTAGGCTACCCTGGACGTATTTTTCCGTTCGTAAATAATACTTAAAGTAACTTATAATACATTATAAAGGACTGCGGCGTATGATTATAAAACAACACTTAAAGTTTCACCGCATAAGTTTCTTTTCTGTGAAAAATCAATATTTATTTCAAAGAGAAATATTTACTATTTCTAACTTTTTTGGATGAAGTATGAACGGGTGAAAATATGAAGAGTAATGGCGAACGGAAAAATAAAAGTGTCCAGGGGCGGGAATCGAACCCACAACGTTCCGCTTACCGGGCAGATGCCATGTCCACCAGATTTGAACCAGCGACCTAAGGATCACCATTGTAAAATCTACAGGCCTCCGCTCTGCCAACTGAGCTATCGAGGGATACAAACTGTATGAATAAGTTTACCTTATAAAGTCAACTAATCCTATTTCTACACAAAATGTATTAATATATATAGTCACGACCGTCTTTCCTCATCGGCCGGCCGCCTCTGTCACGGATGAGCGCGCACAGGGAGGTCACGTGCTCGCCGGCTCCCTCGAGACGGATTTGAACCAGCGACCTAAGGATCACCCTTGTAACATCTACAGTCGGGTAAAACGGCTCGAAGGAGTTTTTTTTTTTTATTATTGGCTGCCGGCGAGCACGTGACCTCCCTGTGCGCGCGCATCCGTGACAGAGGCCGATGAGGAACTATATATAGGGATATAATAATAATAATATAATATAATCAACATATATATAGTCACGACCGTCATGGGCCGGCCGGCCGGTTCTGTCACGGATGCGCGCGCATCATCATTATGATCATTATTATTATATTATTATTATCAACATATATCCATCAACATATATAGTCACGACCGTCTTTCCACCGTCAATTCCTCAATTCCTCATGTCACGGATGCGCGCGCATCATCATTAGTATAATATAAAAAGCCAACAATGAAGAATGAATGTAAGATAAAAAGCCAAAAATGAAGAGTAAATATGATATAAAAAGCCAACAATGTTGAATGAATGTAAGATAAAAAGCCAACAATAAAGAGTAAATGTAATATAAAAAGCCAACAATGAAGATAAAATGTAAGATAAAAAGCCAACAATGAAGAGTAAATATAATATAAAAAGCCAACAATGAAGAATAAATGTAAGATAAGAAGCCAACAATGAAGAGTAAATATAATATAAAAAGCCAACAATGAAGAATGAATGTAAGATAAAAAGCCAACAATGAAGAGTGAATATGATATAAAAAGCCAACAATGAAGAATGCATGTAAGATAAAAAGCCAACAATGAAGAGTAAATGTAATATAAAAAGCCAACAATGAAGAATAAATGTAAGATAAAAAGCCAACAATGAAGAGTAAATATAATATAAAAAGCCAACAATGAAGAGTGAATGTAAGATAAAAAGCCAACAATGAAGAGTAAATGTAATATAAAAAGCCAACAATGAAGAATGAATGTAAGATTAAAAGCCAACAATGAAGAGTGAATGCAATATAAAAAGCCAACAATGAAGAATGAATGTAAGATAGAAAGCCAACAATGAAGAGTGAATGTAAGATAAAAAGCCAACAATGAATAGTAAATGTAATATAAAAAGCCAACAATGAAGAATGAATGTAAGATTAAAAGCCAACAATGAAGAGTGAATGCAATATAAAAAGCCAACAATGAAGAATGAATGTAAGATATAAAGCCAACAATGAAGAGTGAATGTAAGATAAAAAGCCAACAATTAATAGTAAATGTAATATAAAAAGCCAACCTTGAAGAATAATGTAAGATAAAAGGCCAACAATGAAGAGTAAATATAATATAAAAAGCCAACAATGGAGAGTGAATGTAAGATAAAAAGCCAACAATGAAGAGTAAATGTAATATAAAAAGCCAACAGAGTGAATGTAGGATAAAAAGCCAACAATGAAGAGTAAATTCTATATATATAAAAATGAATGTTTGTCTGTTTGTATGTTTGTTTGTATGTCCGGTATACAAATTCGCAGTAGTTCACTAATTCAAACCAAAATTTCCATACATAGGTAAAAAATACGGGGAAGACGATAGGCTATTTAAAAATATATATAAATCAATTATTAAATTTTAGCGAACATCACTTATGAAATTTGCATTTTATTAATATAGATATATGGTAAATTAAACCAACAACCCTATATTGTATAATACTTATAACAAGATTGTCATGTTGTATACAGGGTGTACCAGGTAAATTGGGACTAACTTTGACAGTCCATAAAACAAAAACTACTTGAGATTAAAAACTTGTTTTTTTTTTCATTACGTAGCCATATTCATGTAAAATGCAACAGTACATGTGTGCGCAGTGTAGTGATGAAGAGTAACCGAGAATTTGAAAATCGAGCTGCCATCATCGTTGCTCTGCGCGCCGGAAGGAGCCCCAAAGAGATAGTGGATTTTCTTAAGTTGCCCAAAACCACTATTTATCGTGTCAAGAAGCAGTTTGATGAGGCCGACAGTAACAAAGAGGGGATAGCTACAAGGAAAAAGCACTCGCGTCGATCGGACAGGGTAAGAGGCGAAGAATTTGTCAAAAATGTCAAGGAGAAGATTGATGGAAACCCTGGGAAGAGCATGAGGGCCATAGCCAAGGAAATGGACGTTGGCTCTATGACAATTGTCAGAACTATCCATGAGGACCTTGGTCTCAAGTCTTATGCCCTTCTGAAAGGTCAGTTGCTGACTGAGAATATGAAGAATAACAGAAAAGGAAAGGCTGCTGCCCTCCTCAACAACCTGAAACACGACTCTTTTGGCATGCTAAGGTTCTTCTCTGACGAAAAGAACTTTGACGTGGACCAAAAGGTAAATCCCAGGAATGATCGCTGGATCTGTAAAGACCCCTCAGAGATACCTGTCGTGATGCACACGAAATTTCCTGCCTCCGTAATGGTCCTTGGCGTTATCAGCAGTGAAGGTGATGTCATGCCTCCCCATTTCTTTGAGAAGGGCCTTAGGATGAACGCTGACACCTACATCAATGTTCTGGAGACCGTTGTGAAGCCTTGGATGGACATGGTGGCCGCAGGAAGGAAGTATGTCTTCCAACAGGACTCAGCTCCAGCCCATAAGGCAAAAAAGACACAATCGTGGCTGACACTTAACGTCCCTAGTCACTGGGGTCCTGATATTTGGCCCCCTAATTCTCCAGATTGCAATCCCCTCGACTACTATGTATGGGGCGTTGTTGAGAGAGATGTCAACAAAGCTCCTCATACCACCATCCAGTCTGTCAAGAAAGCAGTTCACACGGTGATGACCCAAATGGACAAGGTCATCGTCGCCAAGGCCTGTGCTTCATTCCGCACTCGCCTCGAGACTGTTGTAGCTAATAATGGAAACTACATTGAATAAATAAAAACTATATCCTTTTATCTACTACTGTGTCAAATTTCATTCGGCTATTTTAATTTTTACTTGCAAAATATTTCAGTTAAAATACCATTGTTGAAATTCCCAATTTACCCGGTACACCCTGTATTTTTAGTCATAAAATGATGATGACGATATTGCTGTATCATGTTTGATTATCAGATACAAAATTATATCGGGAAAAATTCCAAAAAGCAGAGACCACGGGTGAAACCAGTTCATTATTTTGTACGCAGGAACAAAATTCTAACAGAAAAACATTCATTCGAGCAGAAAACAAAAGCCAGATCATCTTTCTATAAAAATATCGCTTCTCAGACACAAAGTTTGCAGCGGGACGTTTCACAAGTGTGACATCCACGGCGCCAATTTATAATTGTAACAAATAGTATTTGAATAAAAACATTTAATTGGGTAAAACCCGGGCGTTGCCCGGGTCATTCGTCATTAATATATAGTCACGACCGTCTTTACTCAATTCCTCATCGCTGTCACGGATGGGCGCGCATCATCATTATGATCATTATCTTCTATAGAAGCTTCTATCTTTATAATTATGTATATGTCATAATATATGCTCTTCCAGGATTAATAAAACAATCCAACAGCCGACGAGAGAGAGATGGGCAGCTAAAGCTAAGAAAACTAACTTACGACCATTTTTTGGTCACATTCCTGAGGGGGGCGTCACCACCTGGCGCTTATCTTTTGTTAGCCCCGCTTGTGTACACAGGGAAAAAACGGTCGTTCAGCAGATAACGTCTCACTCGCCACCACTTTCTCTCTCGGCTGGCTGCCTGGATTTTGCCTCTAATAACTCGTCGTGTGATTTTTTCTCTCCTCACCACATTTACCACTATATTGTCACAATGAAAGTCGACAGGATAAGATCTGACCGGGAAGCAAATCCCTCATATACCAGAGCATGAAGAAACAAGAAGCCAAGCCACGATGATCGAACAAACCCACAACCAAGTTCCACAAGAACCAACGACCGACGCTACTGTAGCCGCTTTCCTTCGAACTCTCACCCTCTGTCTCGACCAACTTTTAAACCGTGAGTCTGAAGAAGCAATCACCTACGACGGAGATGAACCTGCCGCACACTTCTTCTCACAACTTGAGTCTCAGCCGAACTTCCACAACTTAGAGCCAGCACGCCAAGCTCGAAAGGCTCTATCATCACTCAGAGGCGAACCTCGCAAAATTGCACAAGACTTAGCTCTACTCAATAAGACTTATGAAGAGGTCAAGGAGTCACTCTGCGCCGTCTATCCCCGACGCCCTAGCTTCACTCTTCAAGAGTTCTATGAACTTAAATGCACATCGACGGCCGAGATCGAGACCTACTACAAGAACAAGGTCCGAATAGGATTGGCGATCAACCTCCCTAAGAGTGCCATCGTGCAAGCACTATCCAACGGTGTGCCACGTAACTATGGCAACCTTTTAAAGATGGCACAACCCTCGGGACCAGAAGAATGGTTATGCTTAGCCCAACAGCTGACCTACGAAGGGGATAACACCAGCACTAAAGCTGCCCAACAACGATCACCGCGCCAGAGCAGAGCACCTTCCACCACCGTGGACAAGACCCCACCATATCCTTGCCGTTACTGTGGCCAGAATCATTGCAACAAACAATGTCGTAAACAACCATTCGCCGCCGACAATACTCTCCTTCACCAGGTACAGACTCCTGAACAGAGGTCTTCTCTCCGGGATGCGCAAATCCATCCCATCAAGCAAGCTATCACAAAACCAATAGCCACGTCCCAAATTTATCACGTCGCACCTTCCCAAGTCTCAATTGCACATACTCCCCAAGATTCCACTACCCCTGATCCACATGAGCTGATTGTGGAAGATGAGATGTCCAAGAACCCTCAACATGACAACCGCCAACTGTTAGAGGACACAGCCCTTAGTGACTCTAGCACGCCGGACAAGCGAGAC